CCCCAAAACCCCAAAACCCCAAAACCCCAAAACCCCAAAACCCCAAAACCCCATGTATCTTGATGAACACTGAATATTTAGGATCAATATTATATAAGTGCATTTATTTCTACGAAACCAAGTGAGACATATCCTTGATTCAAAACATCGAGGTAATAAAAGACGAAGATTCCTCAATTGAGATGAACCATAAGAAAGATTAATATAATTTATTACGAAATTTTCTATTCTAGGTGCATTTACTCAAATATCAATTATATGAGATATTAATATATCATATTAATGCTTATATGCTGCAACATGCAATAAGTGCTCTTATTAACAAAATCCAAGCCTAGACAATCATGAAGAGAATCGCTTCCCAGGGGCTTTATGACCTCTTGTGTCAGTAGCGAAACCGACTAAGAATTTAGAGCATCTACAACTACCCCAGGATATACAAATTAAATGTTATCCAAATATTTCTACAAGTACTAAAGATGGTGACACTTGTGAGGCCAATCGCCAGAATTATAAGGATTCGAGACCAGAGAGATTCGAGAGCTACTGATGCGAACAATTATTTGTATTTATATCTGGTATTAAGATAAATATTAATGGCATAAAGCCTCAAAGTTAACTTGGCATTTCAAATTTTAACCAATAGTAATAAGGAACAAAATTTCTAGCTGAATTTTAGCAATGACTTCTTTCATTTGGGGTTATGGAAACTCACATCCATCTTTAAGCAATCTTCAGAACAGTAGTGAGCTTCTCTACATTGACATTGAGTGATGAGAGGTTTGGATGAATAGCAATAGTCACAATTTCCTGACTCAAGAGTGCTCTTATTCTCATCTTTAAAGATAAATCTGCTAGTTTTTTCAGATGCTTTTTCGAGTATGAGAGTATCTGATGAACTCAGACCTACTTCTTTTAGAGTAACATTTGTTTGAATATCGATATATTTACCTGGAAACTCAATTTTTGTGCTCTTTTCGCCTTCACATGAATTATTTATTTCTTCAGAGCAAATTTCCTCATTAGTCACAGACATCTTTGAATTAGCTAGACTTTCTTGAACTTCTTTTACAGTTTCTTTAAAGTTGTGATTCTTGTTTAGCTTCCAGAGTCTGACTTTTTCCTTTGACAATTTGTATCCGTACTTTTCAGAATTCAGGTTAATTACAATTCTATCTAGGAGATCATCAAATGTGTCAAATTTGCTTGCCCAAATTATAAGAGGCTGACTCACATTCTTAGTATCCCATTCCTCCTCTGGAGAAAGAATGATAAACCTAACTTGTCTGAATCTATCCTCATATTTTATTCCGAAGGGATGCATTAATAGAAAGAATCTTTTGACAGTAGTTCCTCCATATCTTGTGTGAAAAAAGTTCCAAACTTCTTCTCTTACAATTGTATAATCAATCCATATCTTGACTTCTTCCTTCAGAATGTAATTGTAGTGGCTTTCTGTGTCAATGTCATTGACAAACTGATCCTTTGGGATAAGCAGAGATGCATTGTCAATCTCTCCAACTTCTGTTGACCTATTTTCATCAAAATCTGGAATGGCATTTGACTTGAATCAACCATAATAATAAGTTCTTTTCCAGTGCTCGAGCCACTTTTTATTAAGGATATATCAAATATCTCCTTGCTTTATCTGAAAGAAGCCCACTGTTTCTTACCACACATTTGTGCACTCTGTCTCTAATTCTCTTCAGTGATCGATCCAGTCTTCTTGGTTGTCTTTCGCACTGAGGGCTAGTTGGCTCTCATACTCTCTGAGGTATCAGCCAGTAGAAGCCTGATGTTCCTCTGTTGTGGGGACTGATTCTTCCATAGTGGTCTCCATTATGCTTCTTAATTTCAATTATATTTAGAAATCTGGGGTTTTGGGGTTTTGGGGTTTTGGGG